GGTTTCAACTCAGAGACCCCCTCCTTGGGTGTCCAAGGTGGTATCTCTTTGGAAGTAGATTGCCCAGTCTTCCTTCCAATGAATGGCTGGTGGGTTTGAACTACCAGCCTTCTGGTTAGCAGGTTAGCAGTCAAATGCCTTAGGCACTACATCACCAGAGCTCCCAAGTTAAGATAAAAGAGTCTAAAATAACAACAGAAATGTATATTTCCATTAACATAATTAAGTTCCTAATACCCAACTGTTGTATTAGTCTCTCTATATATGTGCTATTTATTTAATAAAGATGTTCCTATAGAGATGAAATTATACTTAGAAGAAACTAAAGTAGGCCAAGCAATGAAAAAATTCTTTCCTTCAGTAGAGTTTAAATTTGGCTTTCCTCACTATAGGGAATGTTCTATCCTAATGTTGACAAGAATGAGTTATGACATAGACAGTTGTGTCAATTCATACAAAAATCTTCTTTCAGATTAGTTCAACTAGATCAACTGTGAGATTTTAGTTTAAAAAAGTCAAGCTGTCATAAAAATAAATTTCTGATCTAAATTTCAAGTCAAAAATTACATAAACTATATTTTATGCATGATGTTATTAAGCCAAGGAGCTTACTGATATATCAAATAGTATTTAAAAAGATACTGTAAACAAATAAAATAAGTAAACATTGCTAGATACAGGGAATAGTTTTTTAATTTCCTTTACAGGCTCTAGTGCAAATCAAAAGTCACCCATATCAGTCAGAAAGCCATAGGATTGTAACTGAGTCCCACGCAAAAATTCCTTTTTGTTATTCTTTTAAATAGTATTGGGTGATTTAACCCAAAACTGTCTCGAAATCATTCTGATGATATTCTAAACAGATTTTTACAAAGCATTTTTGGGTAAAGCTCTGTGAACCCCATCCACCATCCCTCTCCCCCCTCAAAAAAAAATACTTTAAAAAACATATACTTTATTTTCGTTTTTAATGTGAACTGGGAAGGGAAGAGGAGAGAGAGCCAAGTAGGGTCAACTTTTAAGTTTCCTGGGAGCTGACGCAGACCAACAGTGTCCCCCAACTCTAAGCAAAGACCATGATTCCAAAACGGGAATTTTGTCTTCAGTTATGCCAAGGATCATCCATTATCCTTCCTTTAAGGACAAACCCACTCATCCTCACGTATAACTTGGCTCTGTGGCTACGGTAAGGCAGTAACTGGAATCCCAGGCTTTCCTGCCGTCCTACCACTACCACCACCACCACCACCATCACCACCCCCGCCCCTACACTGGCTGGATCATGTCTGGAGAAGGACCAGCTGATGTCACCCACATCCCGCCTACTCCTCCAGACCTGCATAGACCAGCCAGCATCCTGGTGCTGCCAGAGCCGCCTGGTCCGGAAAGTTTCCCTGCTTGCTGGTGCAACCGAGCAACGCACGAAGGGGAGCCGTTCGGATGCTGCAGAGCCCAACAGTTCGCGCCCCAGGGACCCGAGGACCATCTCGGTTACACGAACGCGAGTACCCCATTATGCACACGTATAGCCAATTCTAGTGCATCAACGGGAAAGGGGGCGCAGGGACAGACTGAGAAAAAGCAAAATAAGCAAAACTGGAAAGAAGCTGGATATGAAGTTAGAGCATCGTGGAAATAAGCGGGGGAGGGGTAGGTGCATTTATGGAGGGGAGTACAAGGAGGAAGTGGGGGTGGGGAGCCCGTCGCGAGGCTCCTCGTCGCCCCCCAGAGCGCTCAAGTCCCAACCCTTGCTAGCTCCGCGGCTCACCGTCAATGTTCTCCCGGTCGCTGATGTGCTGCAGGTTGCAGCCCGTGTCCTCGCGGCTCAGATCCGTGTCGGGCCGATAGGACTCAAGCCGAGAGTGGGCATTTCTCCTAAGCTTGGGGCTGGACGACACGCAGCACGAGGTAGTGTTCCCCATCTTCAGCTGCCCCCCGACTCCTCCTCCTCTCGCTGTGGCCTTCCTCCACTTTCCCGGCCCCCGGGAGCGGGGAGCCGGGAGCGGGTGAGGTGCAGGGCAGCGGGGCGGGAGGAGGATGGGGCGGGGGCGGACGGGGGAGGAGTGGGAGAGGCTCCCCCCCGCCGAGGGGTGGGGAGACGGAAGCCGCAGCCCAGCTGCCCGGGTCAGCAGCTGCAGCGGCAGCAGCGGCGACGGCGCCTAGCCATGGGCGGCGGCGGCGATGACCGGGCGGCGGAGGCGGCGGCCCAGGCTGCTCCCTTCAGCCGCACACGCGCGCCTGCCTCCCCGCTGGCTCATGCACGACGCCGCCAGCAAGTGTGTCCCGGGCCCCTGTCCCGGGCGGGAGGAATGCACGGCCCCCACCTGCACGCGCGACTGCAGCCGCCGGGCCTAGGTCATCCTGCTGCGGCCATGGCGAGCCCGGCGCACCGCGCCGCCTCCTTCCCAGCGCACTTTCCCAGTTGAGGTGGTTGGTTTCGCCGGCGGTAGCAGCGGCGGCGGCAGTAGCAACCCCGAGGCTGCCTTTTGCAAGAGGTTCCGGTTCAAGTGGGTGGTAACTCCGTCTTCGCGCCCGGCGGCCGCAGTGAGGAGGTGTTGGCACGGCCCGCGCGGCCCCGCCGCGCCCCCGTCGGCCCCTGGTGCGGCGCGGTACAGCGGCCCAGCGGTCGGCGAGGGATGCTCTGGGCGCCCCTGCCGCCGCGCTGCCCCCTCCCTCCGGTGCCCCGCCCCGCCCAGTCGCCGCCTCTTCCTTCCTCGATTTCGCTTCTGCCCTGGAAGCAGATGAAACGGCGGAGGAGAGAGAGCCTGAGACGAATGCGGGCTCGCGCGTTCGGCCTGCTGTGCCCCTCTTTGGGGTATTAGGGAACCGCAGGCTTGCGTCGTTTGGGTACTCAGCTTCTCGATCCCTTTCATTTCCTTGTGTTAGCTAACTCAAGTTCTTCTCCGGTTATGGGGAAGATTGGGCTTCATGATAAGATGAAAGGTGTGTATGGGGTTCTTTGTGCCGCCAGCGACTAAGCGGTGCTGGGAGACAGCCCCTCGTCCCGAGCCGGGATCTCCTCCTGGGTTCTCGCCGAGGGCGGGCTATGAACTGGGCGAGAACGGGATCAATGGCCTGGAAGGAAGAGGTTGGGGTTTACAACGTGGAAGGAAGGTGTGGCACGGACGCAGCCCTCGTGAAGCGTAGGAACTTAGCTTGCTACTCCCAGGAGAATTCCCCGGGGCCCCCCCCCCACACTTTTTTTTTTTTTTTTTTAAGTGTGTAGAAGGAAGCTGGACTTTGATTTGGAAGTAATGTCTTCTGTTTCGAGCTTTGCTGAGGACTTGGTACGCCCCAGGAGTATTTTTATGTCTAATTATAACTGCTGAGTATTTTGAGTTCCTTGCGAATTAATGTGAAGCGGAGACTTAAGTTAACGTAGTTCTTCAGCTGTCACCTTTTTAAAAGAAAAAAAAAAAGTGTCGGGTTTTGTTGAAAACAGTATCTGAACTGAGACCACTTAACTAAGATAAAATTATGTGAAAGTCCCTGGCACAAGGTCGCCATCTGATACCAGTTCCGACTCAATAACGCCCTATGTAAGTAGTTAAGTAATTCGATAAATAATTTCCATCTCTCACAGTGCTAGCCATACCAGACTAACAATATCGTCACTTCTTGCCTGTGTTAGGAAGACTGTAAAGAGATTATAAGGTGGGCAGATCAACCGTCTCCCTTTTTCCAAATAGTCAATGAAGGTTTCATAAGGAGAGGCTAAGAGAAAAAAAGTTTTCAACAGGAAAAAACCCCGTTCAGCCCTTTTAATTTTAAATATGAGGAAACTGAGGCCCAGAAGATAAAATGCCTTGATTTGCCCAAGGTCTTAGTCCTAGTTAGTGACAGACCTGAATACTGAAAGGGTAGAGAAGGCCTAAGGAAACATACTTACCCAGCAACAGCAATGAGTAAATGCCTTGCCAGAGACTTTAGTAGCATTATTGTATTTCATTCTTGATTTCTAACCTTTTTTCAACTTTTGCTGTCCCTCATTGTTGCAGTATTGTTTGTACAACGATTAGTTCATGTCAAGAGTTCCATGCTCTGATCTGTATTGATGCCATTTGTTGGGATAAGTGATGGCTGTCCTTGGAAAATAAATGGTAGCAAAGTGATGTTGCTGAGAAGATGAGGAAGGGAATGTGAAAGGAAAGTTCTAAAGAAAGGGGGAGGGTAAAAAAGCAACATGACAGAATAAAATAATGATCTTTACTAAGGCCATATGGACCTTATAGGAAAGTTTAGGGCATAATTACAAGTTGATAAATATGTATATTCAGATTTTCTGTGGTAAGATCATCTGAAAAATGGAGGAATGCTTAGCCTATTGTCTATTCTGATTGCTATTGTAATTCTGCGCCTTGTATGGAGTCCCTGGGTGATACAAATGGTTAACACATTCAGTTGTTAACAGAAAGGTTGGAGGTTCAAGTCCACTCAGAGGTGCCTTAGAAGAAAGTCCTGCCAATCCACTTTGAAAAAACAGCCATTGAAAACATTATGGAGCACAGTTCTACTCTTGATACACATGGGGTCACCATGAGTCAGAATCAGCTCCACTGCAACTGGTTTGGTTTGGTTTATGTGAAGGGAAGCATCAATCATTGAGCCATATTTACATGGCATATCCACTCAGGCACATGAGTCTTATGTATAACCTGTTTAGTCATAAAGCTTATAATATTTACAGTAATGTTATGACTTGGAGGCCTTAAGAGTAGAGACAGATGGTACTTAGGACACTGTAAGGCAGTAGACCATGGCTGTCTGCGTGCTTCCCGTTCAGCGGATCATCAGCCAGTGTTAATTAAAAGAGCATCTCAAGGTGAAGGAAGACTTGACTGGGTGTCAAGAGTAGCTACAGACTAGCTATAGGGTAAGACAGCCACTCGTCTACAGGGGCATCTTTTTCCCGTACCCCCACTCCCTCTTTGACTTTCCCACCGTTTTCCCTTTAGGAACACAACTCTGGATTTATTCAGAAGTGATTTTTACATCAGCAGACTTGGGGAGGAAAGAGAAATCCTGAAGCCTGACTAGGGATTTATCTGATGTCAACCCTTGCCACTTCAAACTCCTCAGGGCAGAGACCCACCTGCCTGACTCATAATGACACATTAACAAAGATAATAGAACAATAACCAACTCTTAGCAGAGACGATGTGATACAAAATAATAGTAATAAAAGGTGTCATTAAACACCTGCTAGATACTACACGGGAGCTCTGGCAGCACAGTGCCTAAGGTACTTGAATGCTAACCAGAAGGCTGGTAGTTCAAACCCACCAGCCATTCCCCAGAAGGAAGGTTGGGCAATCTACTTCCAAAGTGATAACCACCTTGGAAACCCAAGGAGGGGTCGTTATGGGTCGCATCCGACTCCACGGCATGGTTGTTCTTTTTTTTAGATACTACATACTAAAACTAAGTATGTTTTACATGGAAGCCTATGCTGTTACCCCTGTTTTACAAATAAAGGCACTTTAACTCCCATAAGTACAGAAAATTTGGCTAAGGTCAAGCTACTGAGAAAAGGCCCACATAAGGATTTGAAGCCAATTCTGATTCCAAAGTCCATTAGGTCCCCTCTACCCCAAATCCCTTTTGCCAGACCTAAGTATCACTGAACAGGGAGATTGGAGGGGAAGTGGAGCCTCAAATTAGAATACTGAGAGGGCAAATCTCGTAAAATTTTTTAGTAAAAAGAAGAATCTAGTGTTGCTTCTTTTCTCTTTCTAAAGAAAGCTTGGAGCTGACTGTTTAGGACTATTTCTAGGCTTTAAGAAGAGAAATCAAGGAGTGAGGGAAACTTATTTTGTGGGGCCCAGCCCTTCTGACCAGTTAAGAAAACAGGCAAGATGGGGGAGAAGCCCTATGCAGGAATAATATGTGCAGTTAGCCACAGCATCACGGGCCTTGTATCACATAGGAGTCCCAGTTCAGGACAGCATCTAGGTAGCATATGGACCTCACCCAGGATGGGAACTGGTCAAGGGGGCAGGTGACAACGGCAACCCAAGTCCCTGGCCTCAGAAGGTTCAGTCTCCTTAGTAACGATCCACCCTGCCTTTTGAGCAGAATCATTTGGGAATTATTTTCCTTCATCTTTCTCTATAATCACTATTCAAGATTTTGGCCATTTTTAGATACACTCCTTGGAGAGAACAAGCGAGAGAGAAAGAAGGGCTGCTCAGGCACAGGGAGACAGCTCAGGGGGTAGGAGTGCATGGAGGGATGGACACAGGGAAGCGGTACCTATCGGGACGAAGTGGGAGAGGAGATGTTGCATTGTGCTAAATTGTGGTCAATGTCATGAAACAAAGTGTATGTGATCTGCTGTATGGAAAGTGTATTTGCTCTGTAAATTTTCACCCAAATCACAATAATAAATAAATAATTCAAAAGGCACTTGACTGCTAACCAGAAGGTTGGCGGTTCAAACCCACCAGCCACTCCTCAGATGGAAGATGGGGCAATCTACTTCTGTAGTGATACTGCCTCAGAAACCCAAGGAGGAGTGGCTATGAGTTGGGTCTGACTCGATGGCATATAACAGCAACAATTCAATCAGAGCAGGTCATAATTGCATTCTTACACCAGCCACAGCCATATCTGTGAACTATGAATGGATCATTTGCAGAAGCCCCAGAATCACTTCCTGGGAACACAAAAGCACTGAGCGAAATTAGCCCAGGATTTGGTCATTTGGTCAAAAGGAAGAAAATGGGTAGAATCTAGTAGAAAAAGCCTTTTCAGGCTGGATCTTCTCTTATTACCTGGTAGTCAGTTTCCCATGTCAGTTACACAATCATTGCTAAGGCAGTTGTGGAATAACTAAGTTCCTTTGTCTATTGTACCAGCAATGTCTGTTACCTTCTTATTTTCTAATAACCTCTCCTTAAATAATAACTCCCTTTAGTACTTGATGGTAAGCAAACTATACTCAAGACCAGACATAGAAGTGCTTTTGGCTGATACCTCTTTACTTTGTGATAGCCACTTAACC